GCCAGCATTCGCTGGCTGGGGAATTCTGGAACTTGAAGTCCAGACATCTTCAAGTTGCCAAGGTTGAGAAACACTGGTTTAGCGGATTGTAGGAACACGACGTAAGAGACACGTGACAAGCCACGTTTTTTCTTAACTCTGGTTTCTTGAAAACACTCTAAATGACTACGTTCAGTTTACGCATAAGAAACGATAAAGTTGAAATATATATAAAAGCCAAATCCACACGCCTACCATGTATCCAGCAGGGACTTCGTTGCTCCGACATTTTAAAGTCCCGCGTCCAAGAAGGGAAGGACTTCCGGACGAAGTTGCCGTCCCATCATGGAAAGCCCTGCAGCCGTCTGGATCACGCTTCCTGTTTCCGGTCGCTCACAGGTTCCTTTTTAACTTCAACTCCCAACAATCATTGCGCCGAGGGAAATAGCAAATTTTCTCACGAGAGCTTCCTCTAAACTTCCCCACTCCCAGCTCAACCCTTCAGCGGGGTTGTTGGGGGTTGGGTTCTGTTTCAGCTCATGTCTTTTTTTTTCTTTTTACGTGCTAATACTGTAATCACAAAAATATCTTTGAATGCATTCTATATCTATCTGAAGTGGTGTAGGGTTTCCTGCCTAAGCAGGGGGTTGGACTAGAAGACCTCCAAGGTCCCTTCCAACTTTGTTATTCTATTCTATTTCCTTCAATTTATCTGCCAGCCAAACTTTGGAGGTAAAATTGTTTATAGAGACTATTGGGCAAAACGAACCTAGGTTTTAACGTACAACTATTGTAATAATATTTAGTTTATAATGCCACTAAGATTGTTAAAAAAGGCAATTACGATGTTTTAAGTTTAGTAAAATATTTTAAAAACTTTAAAAAAAAAACAGGTAGGCAAACATTCAAGTAATCCAAAATGGGAACCTAAAATGCTTTGCAGACCTATGGAGCCGAGGAAAGATTTGAGCTACATCTAATAAAATACATCTAATAAAGGTGGCTCAGTGGTTAAGACACTGAGCTGGTCGGCAGTTCAGTGGTTCGAATCCCTAGTGCTGCGTAACGAGGTGAGTTCCCATTACTTGTTCTAGCTTCTGCCAACCTAGCAGTTCAAAAGCATGTAAAAATGCAAGTAGAAAAATAGGAACCACTTTGCTGGGAAGGTAACTGTGCTTTTAGTTATACTGGCCACATGACCACAGAGACGTCTTCGGACAGTGCTGGGTTAAAAGGGAAGAGATGCTGAGAATCCCTGGGTTTTATGCCCTCTCTGAACTTTGAACTTCTTGGGGCACAGGAAGATTATCCTGATTGGTTGCTGTCAGAGGTCATAGTAAGCTTTGTAGGTTGTCTGTGTGCTAAGTTTGGTTGAAACTTGGTGGGTGGTGCGATGAAATGGGGCAGATCTTTGTTATGTAGAATAGGTTGGGTCAGGTGAACTGGCGGCAGCAGCCGGAACCAACCTCTGATCTGTTTCCTGACTAAAAACATGTTTCTCCATTTCTCATCCAGGGAAATATAATATTCTGCCTTTTTAATATTTCATAGGATATTTCATTCTTCTAGGAGAGGGGTAGATGCTAACTTCCTACAGTTGGAAATAAAGGTAGTTACTTGAAAAGGATATTTAACTTTCACTGTAGATTCAGTCAGACCAGGAGTGGTTTCCATCAACTGCGATGTTACCAAGCACATTGCACACCTGACTGACATACCAGGTATTTTGATTTTAGGAGTTTCCCATCTTTAAATAATTTGGCTAAGCAGGCACTTCAAAGAATAATTTTTTTAGCCAGGACAAAAGGCACCCTCCAAGCAATTATTTATGAATTATCTTGATTATTATTTCTGAAGACAAAAACATAATAAGGGACAACTTTGAAGACAATGCTTTAATTTTCTGATCATTATTCCATACACATTCATTCCAATTTCTCCTTTATTTCTGATTTGTGTCACTTTATTTTTCCTTGCCTCTTTATGGCTGAGCCAGGGGTTTGATCAATCCATAGTCCATGAACTTCACAAGGCATTCTCGAGCCACTTTGATAATGTGTTGTCTTTTAGGATCATCCGCTTCTTTACCAATGATGGTCAGGATTTCCAACATCTCGCTCTCCACCAATTTTTTTGCCAGTTCTTGGTCTGCGTGGACTAAATTGTAAACAATCACCACCCCACGGTGTTGGACCTCCTGCTTTTCGTGAAGGCAGAGTCTCTGCAAAATCTCCAGCCATTGGGTTGTCTAAACAAATCAGAATTATTAGTCTGAAGAAATCAGAATGATGAGCACATACACAATGCAGTTTTGTTCATGGGGCCCTATTAGAAAAGTGTGAAAAGGATCATAATTTAGGATTCTAAATATATTCAGTTCAGGGTAACTTCACGGTGAGTTATTGATTAATTACTATGTCCTTATTCCCCGTTTGTGGGGGAGAAAAAAAAGCTTTGCTTATTAATTTACTTTCATTTTCTTAATTGTCCTGTAAGGCCGTTTTATCATTTTAAAAAAATGAAAACCCCATCCCACCACTTTTTTGTGAGGAAACAGGAACTAATGAAGGATAGAGTCATATTTCTAAATAGAACAGGCATCCGTAAAAGATAATAAGAGCCAGTTTGGTGTAGCAAAACCAGGATATTGTGAATTCTAGTTCCATTTTAGGCATGAAAACTTTTTGGGTGACTTTGAGCCAGTCGCTCTCTTTCAGTCCAACCCGTTTGTTGTTGTGGGGGAAATAAGAGGAAGAAGTATAATATATGTTTTCTGCCTTGAGTTACTTATAAAGTAATACAGATGGGACAAAATCAAATAAAATAAGGGAGAAAATATTAAAGTTGTAATATTCTTAAAATCTTGATTCCTGAATTGCCTTGGGCCATTCCAGCAGAGTAATAGCATTTTAAGCAGGGGAAAATTTGCAGATCTTGTGAGGTGATGGATAAGAGTGAAAAAAAATGGAAGAAGAACAGAATGATGCCTTGTTCAAGGAGCACAGGTAGTCTATTGTGTTCATATATGTTCTTGAAACCCTACAGTACATGAAAAGATCACTAGCAGGAACAGCAGAATTACATAAAGCAAATCAGAATTTTGAAAACAAGTTTAAACGCCCATCTTTACCTACTGTTCTGCCCTAGGCTTCTCAAGAGCATGAAGCAAAATCCTTGTCCCGACAAAAACCTTTTTTATTAATTTACTGTGAATTCTGCTCATTCACATCCAACGAAGTCTTTCAAGGGAGGATTTACAGTCACAGACCTTATCTGGCTTGGAGAACTGACAGGCCGGTATCTGCAAAACTTGGCAAGGAATCTTGGAGAGTCATGAACCAATTAAACGAACTGTCTCCTACAAACTTCGCTCCCCTTTTGCTCCTCTTTTATTTCCTCTGGGAGGGGCCATTTATCATCCACCTGTGGTCTTACTCCCAAGTCGATCCCTGTTCTTTAGCTGTTCCCTTCGTCTGGCAACTCTGCGCATGTGCACACTGGGAACAGGCTCCAGCTGTTTGTCTGACTCACTGATGTCTGACATTTAATAACTGGCATACAGCTCTGGCCCCCTCTCTGCCTCCGACACAAAGCCCTCATCAGAGCCTTCCTCAGACTCCAGGACTGGCCCATGTTCCACCCCAACCTCCTCACTGTCTGAATCTGCTGCCAGCTCTGCTGGCAGGCCACAACACCTACACATTGAGGTTGAAAAACAAGAAGAGACTTACCACTTGGGTTAACTTATGACAGAGTGTCTTATGGGCTGCAGTGAGCATCGCAAGGGCTCCTGCAGCTGCATTCTGAACTTTGTCATCATCTTCGCCACATAACAGGACTATCAACTTGAGTCTGTCGTTTCCTTCAGCAATGAATCTGTCTTGAACCTGGGGGGAAGTTGAGAGGGAAATCAATGAAATGGATGTTCCATATAAAATACAGCCATATTGAACTTTCCTAGATGAAGAACTTGTAGACCTGAAATCCCTTCACCAGAATTTTCAGGAAATGGAAATGCTTACCTCTTTATTAACTACAAGGTTACACATACATTCTGTGGCTGCTTGTCGGAGCTGATCATGGTTTTCAAACATGTAGTTTTCAATGTCTGGTAGAGCTTTCTCTTTGATGATCTTTTGTCTGAAAGAAGCATGTGTATTTTAATTACTGTATCGGGGTGCTGAAAATGAAAAGTAGGAAACTGTCAGAGACTCTGAGAAGAGGCCAATAGCAATAGCACTTAGANACGCACCTTTTTCCCTCAAAAAAGAGAGTGAAAATCTGGGTGCATCTTATACACTGAATACATCATTTTTGGCCTCCTGAAACCCCGCCCCCTTCACCAAAATGGCCGTGCGTCGCTTTTAGGAGGCTTCCAGAGAGCTCCTGGGGGCTGGGGAAGGAAAAAATGAGGGGAAAATGGCCCATTTTTTGCTCATTATTGCCCCCCTCCCATCCCCAGGAGCACTCTATAAGCCACCTAAAGGCTATGCATGCCCTTTTTTGACAAGAAACGGGCTGTTTTCACAAAAAAACGGGCCATTTTGGGGAGGTCTGCAGAGTGCAAAAACTTTTTTTTTAAATTTGCCTCTTCAAAAACTTGGTGCATCTTGTACTCTGAAAAATACAGTAATACAGTTAACAAAAATTTGGGGGTGTTATACCTCCAGTTGTTAAATGATGGAAACCAGGTATTTGGATGAATAGCTAATCATAGTCGTATCTCGGTGATTTTTGGCTTTTCTTTCTTAGAGGAGAATTCAGGTGATTGCACTTTACTGTATCTCTGGATTTGCATTTTAATGCTTTCCATGTTTCTTAACAATAGTGTGAATTGTTAATTTCTTTTTTTATATCTTGCCCCTTTCTGCAGCATGAAAGAGCAAATGCAGTCAGCTGGGAAAAAAATCTTGGGGGGCCTGGCTTTCTCTCTGTCCACTGGCCTCTCTGTGGGCATCTTCTTCCTCCAGTTCTTGGATTGGTGGTATTCAGCTGAGAATCAGGAGACCATCAAATCGCTGACTGCTATGCCAGTCCCACCACCACCTGTGCACCTGGACTATGAGACTGATTCGCCTGTCTTGCCAAAGCTCAAGACAATATGTCCATTGTGTCGTAAAATACGTGTCAACGATACAGTCCTCTCCACCTCTGGCTTTGTTTTCTGCTATCGCTGTGTCTACCCTTATGTGAAGCATCACCAGCGGTGTCCCATCACTGGCTATGCCACTGAACTTCAGCACCTTGTCAAATTATACACACCTGAACACTAACAGGTCCATTCTCCAATCTTTATATAAAAACTGGAACGCTACATTGCAGAATTGGGTGCTTTTTTCTGATTATTTTAAGCAAGGGTTTTACTGACAGAGGAGGTGGCTTTTAGGAGTGTAGCTATACTTGCTGTTTGGAAAATCAATAGAAAACAGTTATTATCTTTGGTCCGCCTCACCTAACTGATTTTCTCCTAATATCTATTAAGTGAAAACAGGTTAGCTGAGAAAGACTATTAGATAGAAAAAAGGCCCAATCTGCTCCTCATCAGTATGACTTGAGGCACATTTCTATTTTTCCTAAAACAATTGGTCATTAACTGGCCAGTTCAAGGTTTCAGACCAATTTTGTTAACAATGTTAGAAAAAACCAGCTTTAATAGAAGCAGCCTAGAACTAAGAATACATTTCCTGATAGAACAATTAATTGCTGGAATGACTTGCCTCCAGAAGTTATGGATGCTCCAGCACTGGAAATTTTTAAGAAGATGTTGGATAGCCATTTGTCTGAAATGTTACAGGGTTTCCTGCCTAGGCAGGGGTTGGATTAGAAGACCTTCAAGGTCCCTTCCAACTCTGTTGTTCTAATTTCATCATAAATTATATGTTGATAACTTTCAGTTCTACACTGCTATAAATGACCATGAAAAGGCAGAAAAGCTGCTGAGAGGAACCTGAGAGTTAACGTTCAAACATTTTCTAGCAGCAGCAAGGTCAGCTATAAAACATTCACAGCAAAGGGCTGGCTTATTTACAAAACCTCCTTTTCCTCATTTCTGTCCATCCCATCAGGTCTAACTGGAGGGGCACACTCTGGGCCTTCTCAATTGAAGAAGTGGGCCCTAAGTCCACAGTGAAACAAAAGAAGCAGGCCTGTTTTGACATAGCACTTGGCCACTGGAACACCATATCCCCAAGGTTATATTGGCCCTTGATGCTACTGGTCTTTTGCAAAGCACTGGATGTTCTCCAGAATATTGAGATTGGAAACGATAGCCTATGAAATGAAATGACATTGTATTCTTCAGTTTTTATAGGGTTTTTTAGCTATGGGTTCTTCATATTTTCTTGATCGTTGTTTTTGCCTTGTTTTTATGTTAGCCATCCAAAGTCACAGCTGCAAGCCATGTAAGTCAAACAAACGATACATTCCTCAAATAGACGCACAAGAAACTGCTTGAGAGAGATGGCATTTGGACATCACGATAAATATTAATGTGTTATTGCAAATGCTTTTATGCTGCTTCAATCAGTTTTTTACTTTAAGATGGGAAGAACAAGCCTAGATCACCCTGGGATTTGAGTTCTAACTCTTCTGGGACAAGTGCAAGATGATATTCTATTTTATAAAATGAAAGTTGGCTTTGGTTTGTAAACAAGGTTATAAATAGAAAATCCAACATCCATTTTGGGGACTCAGCAAGATGTTTGAAATGTTAAATTCGGGGTCCTTTTAACGTGTTACATAACAAGGAGTCTTGAGGAGATAGAAAACTGGTATTTTCTCTCCCATGTTACTCAAAGCTTCTAAATAAAATGCAGGGGATTGATTCTGGATTTTTTGTGGGGTTTTGTTTTGGGGTGGTGGTGGTTCCTTAGTCGTTTTAACATGAGTGAGCTTAACATGAGGGTCGCAGATCACTCAATGGTTGTGTTTACAAAATAGGCTATATCAAAATCTGCTAGAGATACATCCAATGCATAAAACACTGCTTACAAATTAAGATTGCTCAGAATAGATCAACTTGTGTGAATCCATTCCATCTGTCTTTCATCAACCTAAACTGTCTCCCTCTCCTTTGAGGAGGAACAACTATTTTTCCACAAGCACCACTGAAATACAGTTGGCAGACTATACCGGTAGATAGGTCACTTTAATCCATCCTCCATAGTTGATTTTGTAGTAAGCCCATCAGATAACCTATTCATAAAAGCTCTCTGAATGTGGATTCGTCTCCAGTACCGAGCCTTTCAGATCCCTCAACTAAAACTTGTTTTTTGCTAAAACTTCCCCTTTGTGTCTCACGGGCGTTTTGTTTCAAGCCAAATTTTTCTTCCCTTCCCCAAAGACAGTCATCTAGATGCAAAGACCACCACGGAAGGCCTCTTCTGTACAATATCATGGCAACACAGACTGCTGATCTCTCATGCTAGTCATTTGGATCAGTATCACAGAGTTAACAGTGTTTAGATAACTTGTTCTTTGTATGCCAATCTTGCAACTTTGTGTCCTCTGCTACATGGGTCTTTTTTTTAAAAAATAGAATGTTGCTAGGATGAATTCTTTTCAGAAATACCTCGTATAAGCAGAAAATTCTTGTTACTGCCTCTGGTCATGTCAACAGTTAGCCACCACCTGTACAAAACAAAATCCAGTTGTTATTGTCTTCAGGGAATCAATGTTGGAAGGGACCATTTGGGCCTTCACCCCAATCACCTGTGCATGAATTCAAATCAAAGCATCACCTCCCCTCTACCACATTCAATGAAGGGGAGGCCGTGGCCTTCTATTACGCAGCTTTTACTGTTAGAAGATTTTTCAAACTAGCAACATCAAAAGTTTATAACATAATGGAAACAGTGCCCAAATAATCACATCGTAGAATCAGAGTTGGAATGGACCTGGATGGTTTTCTCTCAACATCCTCAACTATAATTGTACTTCCATTGGAACAAAATCTCAATCTGTCATCCACACATCCAGTTTTATACGTATCTTGTTTTAAAGTAGCATTATTTATCATTTCTTTTATTTTGAAAAAGATGTATTTATTAAATCGATCCCTAAAATCACTGAACTGCCACGTGACTTGGGGTGATGAACACACACAAAAATACTACTAAAATAATAAAACATTGCACCCAGGGCAACTTTATATTACCAAAAAAGCAATCCCAAGAATAATCAAGTTAGCTACAAGCTAGTTAACCCAGTACCCAGGAGAAAAAAAACAGGTCTTAAGAAACTTCTAAATAGGCCAATCCAAATCTCTGGTCCACAGGGCAGATCTGGTGACAAAGAAGCTCATCTTCTGGATCCTATCATCTACTTGAGTGATGGGACTAAGAGAACGTCCACCCTATCAGATCTTATTGGAGGACAGAAGTAATCAGAAACCACTTGTGCTGCAAATAAATGGGCCCTATGTTACAAAGTTTTAATTAACTGTGCCTTAGGATTTCAAAAGATTCAACCATTTATTTGCCGTTCCCTGTGAAAAAACATTGTTTCCTATAGAACTCAAGCAGGTTCATTCTAAACCTTGTATTTACCCCAATGGTCCTTTTCTACAGTGAAAAGAAGTACCATTCTATCTGATTTTTCCCTCCAGGATTTTTCTGACACTTATCAACCCTTGTAACTGGAAGGGAGTGGTGCTCTCCATGGTAAAATTTGTAGCAACACAGTTCTAGACTGCATAAACAGAGGGATAAAATCAATATCACGTGAAGTGTTAATACCACTTTATAACGCCTTGGTAAGACCACACTTGGAATACTGCATCCAGTTTTGGTCGTCACAATGTAAAAAAGATGCTGAGAGTTTAGAAAGAGTGCAGAGAACAGCAACAAAGATGGTTGGGGGATTGGAGGCTAAATCATATGAAGAACAGTTGCCAGAATTGAGTATGTTTAGTTTAATGAAAAGAAGGACTGGGGGTAACATGATAGCAGCAGTATTCCAATATCTCAGGCGTTGCCACAAAGAAGAGGGAGTCCAACTATTCTCCAAAGCAGGACAAGAAGCAATGGGTGAAAACTAATCAAGGAGAGAAGCAACTTAGAACTGAGTAGAAATTTCCTGACAGAACAATCAGTGGAACAACTTGCCTCCAGAAGTTGTGAATGCTCCAACACTGGAAGTTTTAAAGAAGATGTTGGATAACCATTTGTCTGAAGTGGTGTAGGGTTTCCTATCTAGGCAGGGGGTTGGACTAAAAGACCTCCAAGGTCCCTTCCAACTCTGTTATTCTAAATTTTCTATTTCTGCTTCCCAGAGAAAGTGGGAAGAATAACTCAAGTTTTCATCCACCGATCACTGAAGAAAAAGAATCTCCACAGTGCAATGGTCTATTTAAACCACTTTAAATGTGATAAATTCAACCCCTACACCCCATGAAATCTATTTCTGTCCCTTACATGTCCAGCAATAGGCCACAGATCCAGAAATAAAATGCAAACAGAGAAATCCCAGGGGATCCCAGACTGCCAAAACCAGCTCAGAGAGAAGATTACGTGATCACACCCTGGTCAGAGTCAAAACCAAAGTTCTGACAATACCAGTTCAGACTAGACTTCACTCATCATTGCCTTTGGTATGCCTAGAATAGACTAGCAGACTTGGAAGGGACTTTGGTGGTCTTCTAGTCCAACCCCCTGCCTAGGCAGGAAACCCTACACCACTTCAGACAAATGGTTACCCAGCAACCAGTCTGCAGGAACCTCTTTGTCAGACAATGTGCAGTACTTCAATACTTAGCCATTATTTTTGCAATTCAATATCACAAAATGATATTTCTAGGACGATCAATGCTACTCATTTTAGATTGTGGGCACAAAAAGCCAGGGAGGGCACCACTGGTTTCCTAAGATGCCACTTTTCATCCAGCTTTCTCTGTTCCTTAATGGTGAGCAATCACCGGTGCAGCTCAGCCTCTTCCGCTGTGCTTGTCACGTGTCTCTTATGTCGCGTTCCTACAATCCGCTAAACCAGCATTTCTCACCCTTGACAACTTTAAGATGTGTGGACTTCAATTCCCAGATTTCCGGCTGGGGGAATTCTGGGAGTTGAAGTCCACACACCTTAAAGTTGCCAAGGTTGAGAAATGCTGGTTTAGCGCAGTGTTTCTCAACCTTGGCAACTTTAAGATGTCTGGACTTCAAGTTGCCAAGGTTGAGAAACACTGC